GGGGTGACTCACAGCTGGGCTGGGAGGGGCTGGCTGTTTGTTTTTCATTTTTATTCATTGATCTGAGGGGGGGAGAGGGAACCTCGCTTTGCCCCACTTATGAATGCATCCGTTGGTTGACGCTTGTATGTGCCCTGACCTGGTATTGAACCCATGACCTTGGCGCGTATGGATGACCTCTAACCCGCTGAGCCATTGGGAGGGTGGGCTCTTGGGCTCCTCTCTTCCCAGGAGGGGGCGGGAGGCACACGGGGGACCCCCCGGGGAAACCGAGGTTCCCAGGAGCCGGCCAGCCCCCCTCCCAGTGACACCTGGGCTCCCTTGCAGCCCCTCTTCCTGTGCCTCCAGCTCTCGGGCGAGGGGGTCCCGGGAAGTGCGGGCAGCTGAATGAAGGGGTTCGTGGGGGGGGCGCCTCTCTCTGAGCCTCAGTTTCCCCGTCTGGAAGAGGGGTGCTATTGCCTCCAAGGACTACCCAGCCGACCTACCTGCAGCCCCAGTTCTGGGGATACAGAGCCAACAAATAGACACAGTCCCTGCCCTGGGAGCAGTTTGGCCCGTGGCGATGAGAGAGAAACCCTGGAAATGGCACTTCTCTCCTGGGGTTGACGTGCGTGTCCAATGGGTTCATAGACGCGGGAGGAACTGGAACCGGGTCGGGCGCCTGGGGACAGCTCCGCAGAGGTGGACTCTGCTGGGCGGGCCTTCCCGCCCCAGTTCCCGCCTGCACCCCCCTGGTCCCCACCTGCTGTGACCCTCACCTCCCAGGGCAGGTGGCAGACAAGTTTCCAGGGCGCCTGCACCTCTGATGCTGTGCGACCTCTGACCCTGGTGGGCTTGGAAAGATGTGACGGGCCCCTGGCATAGAGCACTTAAGGCAGGGCTGGCTGCTGGCTGTGTCCGGGACACGGTCTCTTTCAGTGGCTTCCGGGGCCCTCCCCTGGGAACAAAGCCCCAAACCTGAGCACCGCCTGCCCCTGCCTGGTGGCATCTGTCCCTTCTTGCTCCTTCTCCCAGAGCCCAAGCCACACGGAAACCCTGCGATCTCATCAGGGACCTCGCCCGTTTTTCTGCCTCTGGGCCTTTGCACACACTGTTCCTACCTTCTCCTGTTTGGTTCTTGCTCATCCTCCAAGTCATCAGCTCCGACATACTGTAGGGAAAATGTTGCCTTCGGTGGGAAACTATGCCTCGTCTACAACACATCTGTATCTGTTTGCTGGGGCTGGGGCCACAAAGTACTATAAACTTAGTGGCCTAAACCACCAAAATGTATGAAAGAAAGAAACTTTTGCTGAAGCATGCTTCCTTTATTTTTTTTAATTGATTTTTAGGGAGGCAGGGAGAGAGAGAAACATCGATGTGAGAGTGAAACATCCATCAGCCATACCCCCCCACCCGGGATTGAGCCCGAAACCCAGGCATGTGCCCTGACTGAGAATTGAACTGGCAACCTTTCGGTGCACAGGACAAGGCCCAACCAACTGAGCCACACCAGCCAGGGCTAACCCACAGCAGTTCCTATCACAGTTCTAGAGTCCTGGACTCCAAGATCCAGGCTCCTTCGGAGGGCTGTGAGGAGGAGTCTGTTCCTCGCTTCTCTCCCAGCTCCTGGTGTTTTGCTGGGAATCTTGTTCCTTAGCGTGTGGAGGCGTCACACCAATCTCTGCCTTCATCTTCACACGGCGTTCTCTCCATGTGAGTCACTGTGTCCAAAGTTCCACTTTTTTTTAATATATATTTTTATTGATTCAGAGAGGAAGGGAGAGGGAGAGAGAGATACAAACATCAATGATGAGAGAGAAAAACTAATCAGCTGCCTCCTGCACGCCCCCTATTGGGGATCGAGCCCCCGGCATATGGCCTGACTGGGAATCAAACTATGACCTTCCGGTTCATAGCAGAGGTCAACGCTCAACCACTGAGCACACCTGCTGGGCAGGAGGCCCCAGACTGATCCCTCACCCACCCCCTGCCCTTGGAGGACACAGCGGGAGGTGCTGGCTGGGAACCCCGTAGGGAGCCCCACTCCCTCATGCTGGTGCCTTGGTCTTGGGCTTCCAGCCTCTAGAACTGGGAGAAATCCCTTTCTGTTGTTCACGAGTCTCGCAGTCTGTGCATTCATTTCGCTCTCCTTGAAGTTCGGAGCAAAGTCCTGGCAGTTGTACCTGACAGCATGGGGGGCGGGACTGTCCAGCAGTTGGTGGAAGAGCGGATCCAGCGCCGCAGCTGGGAGCCAGTGTGTCCTGACGCAGGAGGAGGCCAGGGGGCGATGCAGCAGGACCCTAGGCCGGGTGCCCGCGGGGACAGGGCAGGTCCCGAGCTGTGCCCTGGGGACGCACACATTAGTGCCTGTCACCAGCTCTAGC